TGGTGTTATCGTGCTCGTATTTCTAAAGCCTCAACGGCTTTGCCCCCTTGTTTAGCGCTGCGGAAGGGGGCGTGACCGGTTGTTTTGTAAATATGCATCGCTTTGGCCGTGTCTATTGCAATTCCTTTTGGCGCTGGTCAGCTTTAGTCGCAGTTTTTCGTGGCGGGTCCCACTGCCATTCTCTGGACGCGCGCACTCCATGAATATTCAATGTCGTATCATAGCCACCCCCTTGCCGTGCGTGCACAGCGCTTTGACCACATCTCGTTTCGCTAGCATTTTCTTGAGCAGTTCTCGTTTACTTAGGTCTAGAAAGAAGGGGCAGCTCAATGCTCTTCATGGAACTCAATTTTTCCATCACACGTCCTACCTTGGCCCGATAAGAAAAGTATCTAAGGACAGAGTGATAAAAGGGTTTTGAAGCGCTCATGTTCGACATATAGTCGTTTTCGCTGCAGACGCTGGGGTGAGTCAGGGTGGGCTGAGTTCAGCAGGGGCGGGGCATTTAGTGGGGTCTACTGTGTGCAATATACATGCGGTAGGCGCCTTGCGCAAGACTGAAAAAAACTGCTCTGTAGAAGAACCCTCTGACTCAGCCTCTCCCCTCTGGAACCGGGGTGAGTCAGGGAGGGGCTGAGTTCAGAGCGACGCCAGCTCGTTTTCCCCAGTTGCTGTCGCCTGCCCGTATCAGCAATTAGCGTAGAATGGGCTGGCGTCGCGCCAAACCCAGCCCCCTGACGTTCCCCCCCCTTCGTAGCGAAAACGACTGTACAATAAGCTCGGCGTCGTGAACAAATGGTACAGCTTGTTGGGAGAATCCCATCAAAAGGATGGTTTTTGGTCCCTGGGGAATTAGGTCGTGTTCGGCTTCAGAGGAATCCGCATTTCCCTTCCCTCTCACCTCCCCTCCCCCCTCTTGGAGGCAGTTTTTTTGGAGAAAAACTTGGAAGTTTCTCGGAAAACAGGTAAAAGTGGTAGAAAGTTTTTGAAATGAACATGTATGAAGGATCGAAAGGGAAGGGGGAGGGGGGTAAAGGAGTTGTACCGGAAGACCAAATCAGGTTTAGGGGGTGGGGTTTTGTACCTACACTGCCACTTCACAAAACACTGCTGTACCCTATGTAGGCAACCATATCGGCTGCATATTCCCATGCGCTTCATAGTTGATGGCAGCTAGTATTCCGCTGGCGTGTTGCGTGCATAACGCGTCGCGACCGCACGCTTGATACCTAGGTAATTACACATACCTTTATTCTTATTTATACCATCATATGTTTTCAGAGTTATCTGACTCAGATGTTTCCCGACGCACTACAATGTATGGGTTTTCACATGGCGGCGCTTTGCGTTCGTTGAACAGTTCATTTTTTCTTTAAATTATCTACTCATTCTGAAAGAGGTCAACAAATCCATAAATCAAACCCAATGGGAGTACAGTTTCTTTCCAGAAACTGGTTTATCAAGAGAAAAATGAAAAGTACAATAAATCTTAAGGCAAAGCGAATTTTCGATGGTGAAATAGCCAGATCTGTTTGTCTTTTCGCCAAAATCAATTTGTAGTGCCCCAACTGAATTCCTCAAAACTTTGTTTTTACGATTTGTTCATTCATTCGTGGTCATTTCGGTCTCCTTTGTCACTGGTTTGAACGGAACATGAATAATTAAATAATTATGGGAACCCTCTTTCGTAAACAATACTTTTTCTGAAAACAATAACAATCTCGCTGCTTGCTCGAAGACCGCGTTCATACCTTACGCCGATGGAGAATCGGTGAATTCGGCAAAAAGAAAGTATATTTATCGATTGGGAGAATCATCGAAAGCTCACTGGTGGATTGGAAACGAATCGACACCGCCAATCCCTGCAAGCAGGGAATAGGAGGATTTACGAAAAATTTCCGTGTGGTCTGAAAAATCACATCATTATTGTACAAAGTCCACTCGTTCATATGTCTTTAACTTGGATTTGGAAGCGATATCGGGAGGGATGTGGAGAGGGGGAGAAGGTTATTCTAGAGCCGGAGCCTACGATCACCCTGTAGAGGGGCTCAACCGAGAAAGTCGGAAAAAAATAGAAAAAAAAATGCCAAAAACGCAACTGGAATGATTAACAAGCAATGAACTCCAATACTCAAGCCCCACATATCGATCAAAGGCTCATCTTTAATAATTCATCGTTCAGCAGAGCGCTCAATCGCGAACGTGTAAAAAAACAGGCATAGTTAATGGTATCACGTGCGCGGCATTCGCACCGGGACCCAACTGATTTAGCGTGGCAGTGAGCAATGCAACTAGCCAGGAATTACCCTGCTCGATGTAACGACTCGAATGTCCTGAAGTATACCCGGCTATTGCTTGTGTTGCATTACGCTGCACTGGTGTGATGACACCGATAGTATTAGGTTACATAAAGCGTAAGATTTCGGCATTCATATTACATTTTGATCAGTTCGACTTGAAACTTCTAGCTTTACTTTCGATTTGTCTTCTTATAGCGCCACTACCCCTTTCACTTGACATGAAAATATGAATACATCAAGCACATAATCTGGCGCAGTTCGGCTAAGGGGGGGGTGGATGGTGTTGGAAATTTGTACTTTCGCTGCTTCCCTCTATCAAGTTCATTGCTTTACAAGGGTTGACAAGTAGTTTCTACAAATTTTGAGTGGTCTTGATATCTCGACTTAACGATGGGAAGAAGCTGAAGGCAAAATCTCCCCCCCCCCCCCTCTAGTCAAACTGCGCCCAAAACCTTTCCTTTTGCTTTGCTCTTCAGTGATAGGATGGGATTTTGGGGGTGGTGCTAGTGCAATATAGAGAGGTTTTACGGCTCGGACCACCATCCTTCAGAGCTGATTGACCGCTTCGATTATGACCTCAATAGTTAGAAACAAAGAAAAACAAATGATTGAAAAAAGCTGACATTCCAAAATACAGATGGTCCCTTTCTAGCGAACTAGCTGTTAAGTACGCTGTCCTCCCCTCCCCCCTCGTAGTGATTTTGATGGTGTGCCGTGCTGAAAGACCGGTCTTCTGTTCGAAAAAAAAACCAAAAAACGCCCCAACCAGCGCTGGCTCGATACGCTGCATGCAGACATGCAGATAGCTGGCACCCATCCCGATCAGACATTCGATTGGGAGAAATGGCGCCAGAAAACCTGACGGGCTGATTTCTCCCTATTCACCTCTCCACAGAGATGGGCAGATGCTAAAGAGAAAGAGGAAATTATGATGTAGAGCACCCAACCACTACCCACACCTTCATATTATAAACAACTAGGAGAAAGCTTTTTGCCTTAGCCGACCATGGGAAAAGCTCCAGAGGGCGGAATCGGTCACTACCGTGGAGCTTCTTCCTCTCCCATCGCCTCCCTCCATTTTGGCTATTGGTGGACAAAAACTCCCGAGCTCTTAATAACACCATAGTTTTTCGCATTTTCCATCACCATATTCAAGTTAAACATTGAAGCAAACCGAAGAAATGGCGTGGAAACGGTGTTAAGAACTCCAAAGAACTGCCAGAAAAAATGAGCAGACGTTTGCAGAAAATTGCAATTACCGTAATCTAACGAACTATTGCACGATTTCCCTTACAATTACATTAACTGGCTTTGAACTATTTATCAGACCTAATTAAGCAGTGCTAAGCCGAAATTCGTTTCTGTTCTCTCATCTCTTGTTCTTTTTTTACTTCGGGAACATTCGGAACGACAGCTCAGACTACGAGTAAACCGGCTCTCGAAGGCGGGTACGGGTGGTGGGTGGATGGCATTGTGGGTGCGCTGGCTGGCTGCTGGTCTAGGCAGGTGTCATCATGGCCTTGGTCATGTTCCGTGTAACTCTACGCGCCGTTTCATCAAGTAAATTCGCATCGCGCTCTCCCATAGTGCAATGACACCTTCTGGCTCCACCATCTCAATGCGACTTGCGTTTATTTGTTCAGATGTTCATATTGATTGTATTTCTTCATTCATTAGTATTCGTCAGTGTTTGATCAGAGCGCTTCGCTCCTTTATTGCAAGATTCCATTGTGCAAGTCGGCTTGGAAGGCAGGGAGGGGGCATTTTGTTATTTCCTGCACACGCATTAGGCCATTTGGTGAAGACTTGTAAGCTATTATTGTAAAGCTACGAAACTGCACGACGTTCTTCACTTCGGAATTTCATAGTTGTTTTTAGGCGGCAACTGTTGCAGAATTCGTGAAGGAAGATTATAGTTGTGGATTTCGGATTTTGGATTAAATTAAGATTTTGACTGCATCTGGGCGGGGGGGGAACTCAGGGATAAGTAGATCATCGCTTTGTGTAGCTGTGTTCTATTTAAATTTAGGTTTCCATTCTTAAAAAATACTATAAAATGAATGTTTAACGTGCGGTTATTGATTTTAAATATCCTGGGTTTTGATTAAATGTCTAGGGTTACATTGTATACAAAATAAGCTTGTAACATTTCGTGTCTTTACATGAGTTCACAGGTCTTTACAAAATTTCGTAGCTGCACAAGAGTTTACATGTCTTTACAAAGCGGCGGGACTCGTTGACAGGAACTACAAAATGCCCTCCCCCCTTAACCCATTAGCTTTTCATTCATACATTCTTTCCGCCGGATTTCTGTTTACAGAAGATTTTCTTATTTATCTGCTTACATGTTTTCCTAATTACGTGATCCAATCGTTGTTAATGCCATGTTTTCGAGTTGTCGTTATCGCGTTCGCGTCGTGATGCTTCTACTCGGAATGGAGATCGCTTCCTCTCAGTGTGCGTGCGTGTGGTCCCAAGTGCCCCCGCCCGTCAGCTCCCGTCGCAGTTGTGGGATGGTTGTGTTTGGCAGCCCGCCCATTTGACGTAGGGGTGCAGACGGACAGAGCTCGCTCGTTGTGCGTTCGAGGGAAATGAGGCTCGGCCACGAGGAGGCACACAGAGGAATCGATCTCTAGGCGAGTTGTGGGTGCTGAGGAGGCTGAGTGAGCTCTCTCTATTGCAGGACTCACACAAACCCCAATGGCCGGCGAGGGCGACCCACCGCCCGACCTCAACAGCCGGGTACGTTGGTTAATTGCTAATTATTCTATTTTCAGTTTTTTTTTCAAAGTTGCGTTTCACCCAGAAGTTTTTCTTTTATTCAGCTTTTCGCTGGCGTTTTCCACTTCGTTAATCACGAATCTCTTGCGGCATAACAGTAGTGTAAACTGAATTAACGAACTGGGACATTTTATCTGAAGCAGCATTCGAGGCAAGTCGGTCGAAAGTGGAGGGACATCTTAAGAGCAAAAGGGCTCCCTGTCTGCGAAAACGGGATCATCAGATGCCTACCACCCCTTTTCCTGAAGAAGTTGATGCCTCCCATGCAAAAATCCACGTCTCCATTACGGCAATCCAAGCTTTGCCCCACCTTGCCGACTTGCCCCCGCTTCCTGCCTTTAATTCTTTTTGCGAACAGGTTTAAATTTATGTTTTGATTATTTTAACATTTTCTTTTTCAGCAGGGCGAGGGTAGTGCGAGTGCGAGTTTTCTCCGAGCCGCCCGTGCCGGGAATCTCGACAAGGTGTTGGAACTGTTGCGCGGCGGGACCGACATCAACACTTGCAATGCAAACGGTCTGAATGCTTTGCATTTAGCATCGAAAGAGGGTCACAGCGAGGTCGTACGAGAATTACTCAAGCGGGGCGCTCATGTCGACTCTGCTACTAAGGTGGGTGGTAGTTATCATTCAGTAATAGCCACAAAATCTATAAAAAAGCAATTAAATGGCTTTATCGTTACGAGAGCTCTTTATTGTTTACGCCAATCAATAATTTTATTATCCATGTTGTGGGGAAGTCAACAAATCCTACCATTATTCCGGAATACTCGGGATTTCGCGAGTGTTTTTTGGGCTTTGGTGGGTCTCAACACGAGTTGGGCAAGATCAAGGTCTTTGAAAGATAATTCAGGGTCAAAACAAGTGGTAGTGTTTATGAATTTGTCATCATGGTATTTTCGTTTTGTTTCAGACCGTGGGCTTCCCGTTTGGATCCATGGCCAAATGCCATGTTCATAAAAGATTCTGATAGTTCTAGACTGAACTGTTGCTTATTAACGAGATTTTGTTCGGCTTTAGATAATACGCGTTTTTCGGGGCAGTTCGGTGACAGTGGGGGGTATGCACTTTTCTACTTCCCGACGTGTCGAGAACCATCTAGAGAGCTTTTTTCGTGAAGTTGCAAGAGTTGACAGGTTTACCATGTGGCTCGACGAGCTTGCTCCAGCTTCACAAGAGTTCACAGGTTTCACCAAGTGAGACTTGTAAACCGGAACTAGTGAAGCGAAACGTGCAAAATGCCCCCCCCCCCGTCGCCGAAATGCACCCGTTCTTCACTGAACAACAGCAGTGAAATGATAACACTTCAGTTTGTTTTTCGTATTGGGAAATGTAAATTCAATCTTGTACGAATTTCAGAAAGGCAACACCGCACTGCACATCTCATCACTAGCTGGTCAATCACTAATAGTTACTATACTTGTCGAAAATGGAGCCAATGTTAATGTTCAATCACTCAACGGGTTTACACCGTTATATATGGCTGCACAGGAAAATCACGAAGATGTGGTCCGATTCCTACTATCACATGGCGCTAATCAAGCACTTTCTACTGAGGTATGTGGCTTTACGTCGGATATGCCGTATTTGTTTTCGCTTGACCTTTATTGAGTACGTGCTAGTGGCAGCAATTTCCCCCACCCGAGCTTTTTACGTCGTTGCATTGGGTACGTTAGGGATTGTGGTACTACGAGAGACGAAGCCTACTTAGCCCATCTGCTATGCTTTTGCAAATTTTTGTAGCGGCGGACTAATGACGAACTGAATTAAACCTATTAGCTTGCGCAGGATAGGCGTGGGAAAGGTAATTACGAAGTTGTAGTTGTAGTCAAGCGGGGGGGGGGGAGGGGTAGGACTCCACGTCTTTGACGAACTGGTGTAGACACCCGTTCCATAGCATCAGAAAGTCATAAGAGGCAAAGCAGGCAGGATAAGATATGATGTGGCACAGCCGTTCCGCAGCTTGGCACCTCCAAACTAGCTTACCGCCGGAATTTGGGGGAGATCTCTCGTATTCTTTAGCTTGAGGCGAAAAAAGGATCGAGAACCAGTGGATGAGCGCCCATTATAGCAGAATCCATATGACCTTCCCTTTGATTGATTCCATTGGTTTTTTTCTCCCGGATAAAACGCCGTGCAGACCTAGGAGCGGTGGAAGAAGTCCTTGAGCTAAATCATAACATCAGTTTGTGACGATTTTAACAATGACCCCAATCAAGATAGTTTCAAAATGTCTGGTTGACGTACGAAGATCGCAGCTGATTAATTACTGGCATCTTTGTACACTGCGCGCCTACGAAATCTGCAACGCGACGGCGTTACGGCCAGCAATAGCACGATGGAGTGTAAAGAACGGGTGTCTAACTAGGCTGGCCGTCGAAGAAATGTTGGGAACTATTTAACTATACCGTTTAGTCTCAAAATACATCTGGGAAACTGGTCTTTGCAACGGGAAAATTGTTGACTTGAAAAACACGGCTGCCGCAAATAGTCCTCCTCTTGCCAGATGTGTTCCAATAAACGTTTGCATAAACAAGAAAGGCCGTTCTTTGGAACCTATAGCAGTTCGAAATAGGAGTTGATGACGCGCTATAACAATACCTCTAGCCCTTTCTTTAGAATTCAGTTGCAGCTTTTCCCCATTTTAGCTTTTTTTCCTTGGCGGAGAAGCTTTAAGCTGACAAGATTAAGGGGCAGTTCAGCGAAGGGGGAATTTGTAAACTCTTGTAAAGGATACCTTTCAACTCTTGTAAAGCAGTAAACACGACTGCGGGAAGCAGCGAAAGTGCAAAATCCCCCCAGCTCACCCCGTCGCTGAATTGCTCCAGTTAAGAACTTATCTTTTACTTGAACTCCACGCATTTTCGTTTCAGCAGTTCATTCATGAGTGTACGCTGCTATCTGCTCCGAAATCTAGTAGCCGTTAAATTTTTCATGGTTCTATATTTCTCCATTTGCTGGAACCGAACCTCAGTAGCCTTCAATAGTCGAAGGAAGGCTTGATGGCGAGGGGTCGTTGATAGATGAATAGGCCTAGGTGTCCCATCCCACCAGGCTTTTCTATATCAAGTCAAGCTTAGAAACCTATTTGGATTCCAGCATACTAGTAATTTCAAGCGCAGAGTAGTAGGCCGAAATGGGCGCGTGCCACGAAAATAATCATGCGAGCTGCCAAGGGGATTAACGGCTCTGAAAACAGCTGAATTACATCAAAACTCTATTTGCGATATGCCACGGTGTTTTGGGAGCGCGGCTGTAGGCGTTTTCTTGAAACTTCGCGGCGTTTGACTGTCAACTGTAGGGTTTTTGAAAAATATTCTTGCTTTCAGGATGGCTTTACTCCATTAGCGGTAGCACTGCAGCAAGGTCATGATCGAGTCGTCGCAGTGCTTCTCGAAAATGATGCTCGTGGGAAAGTCCGACTACCAGCTCTCCATATCGCTGCAAAGAAGGATGACATCCGAGCGGCAACGTTATTACTCCAGGTACAGTCGTATTTGCAATTTCCGAAATAAGCGTATTAGTGCTGAGATTAACGGAATTAAATTTACATCTGACCTCGACCCTCGTTATGAGACGATACATTATGAATGCTATGGGTAGTAATTTCGTGACCATGGTTACCATGCATTTATTGCATACTTGTTAAGAATGAGCACAACGCTGATGTCACCTCAAAATCCGGGTTTACACCGTTGCATATTGCTGCTCATTATGGCAACGAAAACGTCGCTCAGCTTCTCATCGATAAAGGTGCTAACGTCAACTATCAAGCACGACATAACATCAGGTGAGTTCTTGAAGGCCAGCTCTTCAACGGTCTCATTAGAGCTCTCGCACAGCAAAACCGCTAAACTTATTAATTTGTTTGACATGAGGTGGATTCGGGTATGTGGGACCATTGGGCGAGGCAGCTGGGTGGAAGGTTTGGCGTAGTTCGGCGACAAGAGGGGGGCATTTTGCACATTCGCTGCTTCACTAGTTCCGGTTTCACAAGTCTCACTCTGGTGAAACCTGTGAACTTTTGTGAAGCTGGAGCAAGCTCGTAGAGCCATTACGTGAAAACCTGTCAACTCTTGTGAGTTCATGAAATAGCTCTCTAGATGGGTCGATATGTCGATGGGAAGTATAATAGCAAAGTGCCTAATGCCCTCCCCCGTCGCCGAACTGCCCGTTTTTTCTTAATTCCTATAAGGACGGTCAATGATGTGGGTTATTTTCCACCATTCTGGCGCGCCCAGTAGCACCTTCGCGAAATTTCGGCGCAGGTCGGCGAGAGGGTTTTTGAACGATTCCTTTTGCAAAATGGGGATTGCCTTAATACCTCTTATGGGGAAAATGGAACGTTTGGAACCTCAAATTCCGCTTTTTCTTTATTTTCATGGCAATGGATTTCACTGGAAACTGGTTTCCATATGTATTCAGGTCCTTCTGGAAGGAAAAAGGTCACATATGTGGCGCCTCAATTAAATATGCAGAGCAGCCAGATGGGTGCTTGGCGTTCCAGTGTTGTCTAATGAATGAATAAGTGTGTTAGGTCCTTGTAGTGCCCGTAATGCAGTTTTCTCCTATCTAGTAGTAGAAAAAAAGTTGGTGCAACAGTTACAACCCATTCATTAGGAATGCATTTGATTTGTTGTCGGAATGGAGTGCGTAGCGCTTGGCCGAGCGGAAGTTAGCCGCTTAGCTGAGCCTCGGGTAGCATCGATTTTGGGTGGTGGTTTGGCCGCAAATTCAACGATGTCAACTTAGTTCTCGGGAGAACAATCAATCTACTCGCGCTCCTGCGCGAAACCATTGGGGAATAGGATTGTGGCGTAGATTCCAGGCAAAAAGGCATGCCCGTTTTTGCTGGCAGGCGCATAGGGGCAAGTTAGCGCGGCATTCATGTTTGGCGTAGTGTTTATTTTGAGGATTAGGCGGTGGTGAAACTCGACTTGGGGAAGATCATCAAAGTTTTCTTTGCGGACGTGAGGAAATCGCTCCGCGGTAACCCTGAAGAAGGGTTTCTGACAAATCATTCCCATACAGATATTGTGACATTCAATTGCAGGGTTATTCCATCATGTAGTCTGATCCTTCCTGACTGCTTATTTAATACTGCGTCGTAAATTTACCGTATCTTTCTTTACGACCAAGCGTTATGACCTGAAGAGAAAAGAGCACGACGCGCTCGAGTTTATTCGTAAGAGCGGCGAAATCGCTACAGGCAGACGTTCAGTAATGTGACAGCACTGAGAGGTATCAGTTCGCGTTTCATCTACAAATGGGATCCATAGCGAATTAGTTTTCGAGCGTGCTGGATCGAATTTTGGGGATAAAATGTACGGACGCTCACTACTCTGCGCAACATCATGGCGGCAGAGCATGAGGGGCCATCCACGCGTCGTTTGCATACAAATAGGATAACAACAAAGCACCGGAAATGAGGGGTCAGTAGGCAGCAGTGGTCAAATTAGCAATATTTATTTCAGTCCACTGCATGTCGCCACAAAATGGGGTCGAACGAATATGGTCGAACTGCTTTTGAAACATGGAGCAATTATCGATTCACGGACACGAGATCTCCTCACACCTCTTCATTGCGCTTCTCGAAGTGGACACGATCAAGTAGTGGATCTTCTGCTTGAAAAAGGTGCACCGATCAGCGCAAAGACAAAGGTTTGCTTTTGCTTCAAGCTTTAGGGCACTCAGGTTTGGGATTTATAGCTGGTTGTGCGAGCAACCACTATCCTTTGGGAACATTTCTGCATCGTTAAATGGACAGCTGTAGGCATTAGAGTGCACTTATCGCAATGAGAAGTGGCCCTTTTACGTTCTCGTACAATGGACCACCGCAACGTTTTTAAAACGTGTCTGTGGCTGAATGGCGCATTCGGGCCGAATTGCCTGAAGGACATGAGTAGGCCTGTCAAATAAGGATTAATTGGGACACAAGTCTTATCCGCTGCGGATGATGGGAATTGTCAAGGGAGGGAGAGGTGGTTTGGCGCCAGAAAGTTTTTCTCTTTCGGCAAGCGACAAGGCTAAGTAAGTCATGTTCCTTTCAGTCGTTTTCCACCAATTGTTGTTGCTTACCCGCTTCAGCAACGGGTGGAGAACGGGCTGGCGACGCGCCAAACTGAGCCTCCCGACAAACCATATTCCCAGCGAACAGGACTGTATTTGGTAGCCAGTTTTGATGCATTATGAGAAATCTGATAGCAGAACCGCTTGAAGGGAAGATGTGATTCATGTGCAGAAGAGCTCGTAGTAAGGTTAGAGTCTGGGACTGAAGGCATTACGACCCTTTTTGTTAAAAAAATAGGGGGAGTAGGGAGTTGGGTGGGTTGCTAAAGGAGGGGGGGGGGTGTAGCGTTGTCGAGGGCAGAGGAAAATGCTGTTGCCTGGAGTGTAACCATCATTTTCTCAACTCTGGAACGGGATTCCCTTGAGAAATCGTGCAAAAAGGGTCTTCTCCTGGTAGCTGCTAGCTACTCATGGTGCAGCAGTTTGCAGTCTGCAGTGGGTTGACGGCACCCCAAAAAGGCACATTAGACAAGGAACTAGAGTGTAGTAATGTTTAAAAGTTGACAGCGAACGAGTTCTCATTCTCATTACGAGAGTAAAAAGAGGCAAGCGCCAGTGGAAACATCTTATTCATGGCTCGGGTGATAAAGCGTGGAGGGAAGGGGGTGTTTGCTTCAAATAAATTGACACATGCCCGTTAAGAGAAGCTGGGATTGCTCCAAAGGACAACAGTAGGAACATTGCCATGAGATGTTTTACAAAAGATACTTTGATTTCTGCCGTTACGCTCCTTTTCATATAGGGAAAAGAACTGCTTCAAAAGGAACTTCATGACAATTGTGAAGCACTCATGTATGCTCACAACTTTATTTATTCTCTTTCTAGAATGGCTTGGCCCCGTTACACATGGCTGCACAAGGTGATCATGTTGACTCGGCGAGAATTCTGCTCTACCATCGAGCTCCTGTGGATGACGTCACAGTGGACTACCTAACACCACTGCACGTAGCAGCTCACTGCGGACACGTAAGGTAAAAACAGTTATCTTGTGCTACCTTCAGGAAGATGTTCATGGTAAGATACCAGGGGAGGGTGTAGTCCAGGACATCAGCCCAGCGGTATCGCGCGCGAACTCGCAAAACGTTCATTAACCGCATTAGTAACTTCACACCATGTTTATTCAGTGGGGTCCTGGTGCGAATGCCGCGCACCTTTTGAAACATTTGAGTCGCTTTTTTTCCGCCCCAACCTTAACTTGGAGTTGCTCAACTATCTTATGAGGAAACGTTTCCAGAACCTGAATGGCGCTGAGTTCTCCATCATTAAGCCATGGGGATTTCATTGATGTTTCTTGTTCACCTTCAAAGAACTCATATATTAATACTTTTCAAGAGTTGCAAAACTACTTCTGGACAGAAACGCAGATCCAAATGCACGAGCGTTGAACGGTTTCACACCGTTACACATAGCGTGTAAGAAGAACAGGATCAAGGTATGTCAGAAATGCCTTTTTTATTGTACTTTCAGAAAAAAAAGGAAGTTTTGGGATTGTTATGCAGCTTTTAATTCCAGGTTGTGGAATTACTTCTTAAATATCATGCAGCAATCGAAGCTACAACAGAATCTGGCTTGTCACCATTGCATGTCGCCTCCTTCATGGGAGCTATCAACATTGTCATTTATTTACTACAGCAGGTAAGTAAAGATGGAGAAGGATTGTGCTTTTCTGAGCAGATACTATTTGAACAGCGCTGGGTTACTGTAGGGCTTCTGTGTCAGATGGCTTTGGAAGCCTAGTTGAATAACACACTTTTGTATGACCTATGGCCATACTAGGCAAAGCTGAACTCACCATCGTACCTCCTTCAATGACGCGCCCCTCTTCTCTACCCCTTTGGAAGGACGCACGAATGAGGAATATACAATGCTAGGCCCAACTCCGCCCCTGTCTCCGCGTGAAGTTTGCCCTCACTGGAATCTTTGTAGTCAATATCGGTTAACAGCGGGATGCCGGAGCACAATAGATTGCGCGCACTCAAAGCGAGCACGGCCATTCTAGCACGCGCCAATTGTCTTGGAAGCACATTTCGATGCTGAATTTCTCCTTGGTTGCAACCCATCCCCCTAAACCGAGTTGTGTGGGCTTGATTGCATTCAGCAGTAGTAGTGAGGTCAAGATGAATTACGGAGATATAAAACTATATAAAACTAATTGGCTTTCTTGTATTCGTATAACTACCCAGTATGAGTGGATAATACTGAAGGCTCATTTCTAGGGTGCAAATCCGGATGTGGCAACCGTACGCGGTGAAACGCCTTTGCATCTGGCAGCACGTGCAAATCAAACTGACGTTGTGCGCGTTCTTATCAGGAACGGAGCTAAGGTAGGTGTTCAGAAGGCTTATGAGGAGTTTATGTGGAAATGAGCCTTCGAGATATTCTAAGTTTTGTTCTTCCAGGTGGATGCACAAGCCCGAGAACTGCAAACGCCGCTACACATAGCAAGCCGTCTCGGTAACACGGATATTGTCGTCTTGCTACTGCAAGCTGGTGCTAACCCGAATGCCGCTACTCGTGACCAGTACACTCCTCTTCATATTGCTGCCAAGGTTTGTAATCGATCAACCACTGTACTGGACGAATCGCAGAGAGGTGGTTCTGATGGAGATTCCCTCATTCATGGATTCCTTTGTAGGAAGGTCAAGAAGAAGTGGCAGCTATCCTGCTCGACCACAATGCTGAAAAGAATGTGCTGACGAAGAAAGGATTCACTCCCCTCCACCTGGCCAGCAAATACGGAAATGTTGAGGTATACATGCGATTGTCGGTGACAACAGTTCACAGTAGTGATTTACGATCGTAATTACAGGTTGCAAAGTTGCTGTTGGAACGTGGAACACCGGTAGATATCGAGGGCAAAAACCAAGTCACTCCCTCTGCACGTTGCCGCTCATTATAACAACGATAAGGTGAGTTCCATGAATGGGGTTTTTCGTGTCATATAATGTCTGTAATTATGATTCCTTAAGGTCGCAATGCTTTTACTGGAACATGGAGCATCTGCCAAGGCTGCGGCCAAGAACGGTTACACGCCACTGCACATCGCGGCCAAGAAGAATCAGATGGAAATCGCAGGAACGTTGCTTCAATATCATGTTGGTGCCTTTTCTGTCGCTTGGTTTGGTTAAATATTAAAGCTCTTCGATTTGCACCTTTGCGCGCTTGAAACAAAATAACAGATGGCCGAATTTTCGAAAATTAGCAAAATTGCGTATGGTCTTGACATGGTAATTTATTTTCATTAACACGCATTGCTTGTTGCGTAATGCGGCAGTCTAACGACCCTGTGCCCATCCTTGCATGTATCGATACTTGATCCTTCTCTGAATCGGTGAACTAGAAACGATTTGCCTTGAGGGGGGAGGGGGTGAGTGAGGGTGCATGCTCTTATGAGCGATAGGAGTAGAATAGGGGCAAATCTTTTATCTTCATTTGAAGGGTGCTGCTAGTGTGAGGTGGTTATGACTGTTGGCTGAGTGACGCATTAGTCATAGGCCCGAGCAAGCACGTGGAGCGCGCTTCCCCGCACTGAACTTCATGGGGGGGATGCTCGGGTTGAGTGCAATTAATGTTTCCAATGGAGTGTTTTTAACCAGGTTTTGTTTAGGCTGATCCAAACGCGAAATCTCGAGCAGGCTTCACCCCTCTGCACTTGGCAGCTCAGGAAGGTCATCGGGAAATGTCTGCTCTCCTTATTGAGAATGGATCAGACGTAAGTCTTATTTGATTTGTAGTAATTCTTCAGGCTCAATTTAAGGTAACCTGCTTGGAAGGCTTTCCAATATCGGTTTATGACGTCATCTTTTAGGTTGGTGCTAAGGCTAATAATGGTCTGACAGCCATGCATTTGTGTGCACAAGAAGATCGAGTACCTGTTGCTGAAGAATTGGTAGGTTTTAAGGGTCCGCTGTCGACACAATTCAAAGTCAAATAGTGTGCCCCTTTACAGGTGAAACACAATGCAGATGTGAATAGCCAGACTAACGCCGGTTACACCCCACTTCATGTTGCCTGTCACTTCGGCCAGCTGAATATGGTTAGACCTTGAATTTTTTCGAAGAGCGACGTGAATTGACGGAAGTTTCATAACTGTTCTGTTAAAGGTTCGCTTCCTTGTTGAACATGGAGCAAACGTTGGCGAGACTACTCATGCGAGCTATACACCGTTGCATCAAGCTGCACAACAAGGCCATAATCACTGTGTGCGCTATCTACTCGAACATGGTGCATCGCCGAATGCTCAGACAACTGTAAGAATTCTCTTCAGTCTTTTCCAATCATTCTGTGAGATTCCCGAGAGAAAATTGATTACGAAACATTTTCAGAACGGACAAACACCGCTGTCGATTGCCCAACGTCTGGGCTATGTCTCCGTTGTAGAAACGTTGAAAACCGTGACGGAAACGACAGTCATCACTGAAACAACAACAACAACAGCAGATGACCGCTACAAGCCACAGAATCCTGAAGCGATGAATGAAACAATGTTCTCAGAGAGCGAAGACGAAGGTGCCGCTGCAGAACATGAAGCCGCCACCGCTCATGTGAAGGTGAAGTCTACCATTCTTGAGAGTGTTCTTATCGCTATCGGAGATGGCACTAGGTGGGGAGAAAAAACAAGCAAGTCAAGCAGACCCATATGTCCGAAAATGTGCACGTTTTCCGGAATACCGTCGATGGAGCGGCACCTGATAAGCCACTCTGGCTTGTTTTCAGTAATTTGTAACTATCTGCCCTTGGATTTTTCATATCGACTTTCTCAAGGAGCGGTATTAGCGATTTTGTTGAAGACCCGTGCCCCTCATGTGGGGCTTATACAGAGAGCATTGCACTGATTAAATTAGACATTCAAAAGGAGTTAATTATACATCGATCGGTTCCCTAGGAAAAGCATATGCAGCTCAAATGCTTAGTGAGCGCAATTATTTTGTTGAAAAAAGGTTAGGAGACCATCATATGTACGCCTTCCTTTATAAAAGCGTCTTCTTGATTATCGTTATTCATCGGAGTAATATTTGATAAATTCATTTATTAAAAAGTGCTATTCTAGGACTTCTCCGACACGCTCACACAAGGCTTGGCCGATTCGACGGGAGTGCACATGATTCACACCGGCGAACAGGTACTGCATAATAAATTATATGCCACTCCCCAACGTCCTACATTGATGTCCTTGTTTTCAAGGCATAGCACGAAATATTTGTACTTGGTGCAAGATGGTAGCAGGGTGCGCAGGGTACTATGTAGAGGTGTAAAATGGCGAAAAAGCGAAATAAAACGATCAAAAACCTGCAACAAGCCTTTGTTCTACACGACTCGGAAACCATTTTGGACGAGTTTCCCGTTGGCATCGGACCAGTAAGATATGGCTGCATTCATATGTACCTTCAAAACAATCCTTCTGTTCATAGTGCGCTTTGCAAAAGCTCGTGCAAATGAAGCGATACGAGCATCAGCATCGGTTGGACCTTTTGAGCGGGCAGGCGCTGTGGGCGTCCGGGTCCGTATGTGCAGCTTGATAGGGCGCTAGAAGGGTAGGGTTTCTTCAAGAAAGAGACACGCAGCGCGTGCTCAGGGGCGCTGAATTCTGTCCTAGTAGGCGTATTAATCCTCCATCTCCAATTCTTGGGGATTCGGGCTACTTGCCTTTAATAAGTATTCCGACATTGGATGTTAATGTCCGCGACGGGTGTAATGGAGACTATAAAAAACGACAGACATTTGCCTAGAGTTGAAACGAATCAATAGAGGAATTACGAGGACACCGAGCGGGCGTTTTGTCTGGCTCTTTGCCTCGAATGATGAAGCAGTTATCGAATCTAAGCGTTTTGGCGGAAACTGGCATTCTATAAGTGTTTCTTCCTTTAGTGCTAAAAACAATGTTATCCTTAGAGCTTTCTTGCGAATTAGTTTGAGGTCATGCTAGGTTTTTTGGGGCTTCTTATGCTTCGGAACGGAATCTATTGGTCAATAAGACGTGCCATAGCTGGCAGCCGACGGGCGCATCTGGTAATTTGTTGATTAGTAGATAGCTATCGCATTATGACGAAAAACGTTGTCCTGCCGTCTCGGTCGTCGCGAAATACTACACACCAGCGCGCCATAGCATGTGCATATGTGTGTGTATTTTAAACGGACGGTGGTGTATGACGGACATATGAGCCGTTGCCGCCTCTTGCACTATAGCTCTCATCGTCTTTTGTCTTACATATCCTCATCACGTTTTTACTACGTCAATTATTGATGCATTTTCAGCTGTTATCCAAGAGCGCTGAGTTTGATGGAAGCACCCCAAGAATAGCGACCGTAGCGACGGTCGATGGACCCGACAAATTGGATGAACTCATTCGAAAAGCACAGGTAATTGTAGCAGTCAAATTTAGTCATCAGTCTTTTTGAAAAGTACATAAGCCATAAGGAAATAATATTGTTTATCCTCGACTACATAAGTCGCAACATGTTGAAGCAACAACATGTTAAAGTAAGAAACGGAGTTAGGAGGGGCAGAAATCCATATAGAAGCGGGAGGTTGCAGCATTAGGTCGGCCAAGAAGTGAAGCTGGTTAGCCTGGGAAAAAGTGAAATGACTGCCCTTTTTGTCGCGGTTGTCTGTGAAGGACCAAGTTACTCATGTCAGCTGACGGATTAATGTGTCGCCCGCAGATTTTTTAAAGTCATCCGTGTGATGTTAGTATGGTAATATCCCCTTTTCAGGCTCAACCAATGCATACCGCGGTCAACGACACGTCTGTTTTGGATCGTTCATTCACTGCCAATGACAACGTACCCATTGGGCATAATGTGGCCCAACCCAGGTAATTATATGTCACATTTCTCTGCTATCCCATAGTTTGTCGTGTCGTCTGTTTGTAGGAAAAACATTTTTGAAATGTTTTTAGACAATTGTAAAATGTAAAATTAGGTGCAGTTTGGCGACGGAGGGAATTTTGCACTTCCGCTGCTTCATTAGTTCAGGTATACAAGTCTCACTCTGGTGAAACCTGTAAACTCTTGTAGGCTGGTGCAAACTCTTACTCTTTACGAGGGTTGACAAGTAGTCTTCACAAAACTTTAGGTGGTATCTTTTCGCGGTTTCACAAGGTTTCACATGTCTCTACTTAACGGCCCGACATGTCGCTGGCAAATAGCAAAGGTATATAATGCCTCTCCCCCTCGTAGCGAACTGCGCCTAAAATTGTGTTCTGAGAAAGTTTTATGATGTTGAAGGATTTTCAGCATTTTGGAGATAATTTACTAAGATTTATTTTTACAGTAAGCTGCAGCACAAGACGTAAGTTTTCGATTCAGGCATAGTGTTGTAGAGTTTCGTGAAGCTTATTGTCATATATTGCATGCTTGGGGTCCGCACATGCGCGCACATACACACACGCAAAGCGGTGACGACTAAAAGTTTGTAAACATCATGCATGGATGTTTAGAATATCCTCACGCATCAGCTTATTGTTGGCTGTTCTCATACACGTCCAACTGCGCACTTATCTGATCGTTTCTAGATGCTGCTCGCATGAAAGTGTTAGTTGTTGCTTGTCGCGTTGCTTTTTTTTCACTAGTCCGTGTAGTTTCTGTAGTTATCGTTGAGTAGCTAAGTACGGTCTTGTTGGCTGCGGGTGATGGGGCGTGTCAAGGGAGATGGATTGGCGCGGCACCAGCCCCCTTTCTTTTGTTTTTTTTTCCTTTTGGCAAGCGACAATACTACATCATATCGTACTTGTCAGTCGTTTTCCACCAATCGTTGTTGCTTCACACTTCATTAATTGGTGGATAGAGACTGGTTACGTGCCAAACCAGCATCACAGACACACCCCATCATCCGAAGCGAACAAGGATGTGCTATCTCGACACTTTAGGGGACTGACTACCCATTTGACAGTTCACTTAGTATGTCCGCCACGCTTCAGGGAATGCCTGCTATGAGACTGAAATCTTCTCAAGTGTCGTGCAATTCCGGCTATGGGGTTGCTCAGAGGTGGTCCCAGATTGCATATTTAGAGCCCAAATATCTAAGACTGACTGAAAAAGCAGAGGTCAGCCGCTACAGCTTGCTAGTGATTAATTCCTTTCGACGTTCATGAAAGGAGTTTCTATTGTGCTAGGTCTGCAAGCGACTGTTAACACTGAAGGATTTTTGGGTGGCCCTTTCTGAGTGAGCCAAAATCTTCAGTTAAAAAGTGACAGCCTTCTCTGTTGGCAGAATTTTGGTTCAAAGCGCTCCCAGGTTCATAAAAAGCATATATTTCTGGGGGGGGGGGTCAGAGAAGTGGTTCATTTCTCATGACTCTGCATAGCCGGTTCTAGTTGGCTTGAGAGTTAGTACCAGTCGTCATGGGTGCACATGGTTGCCAGTACTTTTTGGTTTTAAGCTGTTATTGTTTGATAACTGCTGTTTAACGCCGCAGTGCGCGATCCGAAAGTTATCACAAGAATGCTGAGTTGTGGGCAAAAGTCGGACAACGGACCGGATTTTTTGGTTTTTTCGCGGGTATGAAATCTAGCGATCTGGTATTTTGGACGTGGTATTGTGCTGGTATTTTTACAGTTCTGTATGTCTTGGCAGCTTGAGGAATTAGGGAAAATACTTTCTGCAGATTCCGTAGTATTAGATGTGCAGAGCTTCACTGGAATCTGAGTGTGAAAACATGAAGAGACACCGAAACTTTTCTTGCAAAAGACTCCAAAGTGTGAAAAGAATCCAAAAAGAAAAGGCGAAGCCGCGCGAAGAACTGTGGATTTTTTTCAAACCTTTGGAGACTTTTGTAATAGAATGTTCGGTGCCTCTTCATGTTTTTCCATTCATTTTTTGCAGAGTTGTATTTCCAAATTCACAAGCTTTTGGTTTCTGATTCTTTGCGTTGATCGACATGCAATAATTCTGACCTTTTTATTTTTGTGATGTATACTCTGTAGAAGGCTTTTTCAGAGCAATACTCAAGGCATAAGCTGTAGTAATCTGTGTGTGCTCCCCTGCAATGCTTTAAAACTTCCTGGAGAATTGTATTGTTTACTGATTGCTCAAGTAGTATCACCTATTGCTTTACATTTCAGCTTCTTGATCTCATTCCTGGTAGATGCTCGAGGTGGAGCGATGCGTGGATGCCGTCATTCTGGCGTGCGAATCATCATTCCACCCCGAAAAGCTAGTCAACCAATTCGGGTCACGTGCCGTTATCTCAGAAAGGTAGGAGAGCGGTTAAGTTTCCCATTGTGTTCAACAAGAGATCTAATTTGTTTCAGGACAAGTTAGCCCATCCACCGCCTCTCAGTGAAGGCGAAGAACTTGCGTCGAGAATCCTCGAAATGGCACCAGCTGGCGCCAAATTCCTGGGACCAGTCATCTTGGAGGTGCCACATTTCGCATCTCTCCGAGATCGCGAACGTGAAATAGTCATCCTACGTTCTGATGACGGCCAACACTGGAAGGAGCACCAGCTTGAAGCGACCGAGGACGCAGTACAGGAGGTGCTGTTTGCGTCTTATACTTCATGATAATCATTCCGAGAGTAGATAGAACATACATGTTTGTATAGCGTATGGTAACGTTATAGTCGTTCCAGGTGCTAAACGAGTCGTTTGATGCGGAAGAATTGGCTCAGCTTGATGATCTCCATACACCAAGAATCACCCGTATACTCACTAATGATTTCCCTATGTACTTTGCTGTTGTGACACGAGTTCGGCAGGAGGTAAGTGCTTCCTTCTACTTTAGAGAAGCATTTATCCAAAAACCAGCATGAACCGCACTGTTTAGGTTCACTGTGTCGGACCAGAAGGAGGTGTGATCATGTCATCGGTGGTGCCTCGAGTACAGGCAATCTTCCCAGATGGATCGTTAACGAAAACGATCAAAGTGTCTGTACAAGCCCAACCCGTCCCACAAGATATGGTCACTCGACTTCATGGCAACCGTGTGGCTGTTTCACCAATTGTGACTGTCGAACCACGTCGTAGGAAATTCCACAAACCGATCACCCTCTGCATTCCACTCCCACAAAGCAGCAACAAGGTAGGCTTGAGTTTAGAATTCAATAATGGTTTCTACCTAAAGCAATCGAATACAGGGAATGTTAACACAATATTCTGGACAACCTGGTCAAGAGCCACCAACCCTACGGCTGCTATGCTCAATCACTGGAGGTTCGGCTCCTGCCCAATGGGAGGACATCACTGGCACAACACAGCTCACATTTACCGGAGATGAGGTAAATAGATATTCAAACTCGAGACTTCAAATTTTGACCTCATTACTCTTTCCAGGTCTCATTCACGACGACGGTTTCTGCTCGTTTCTGGCTGATGGACTGTCAGACTCCTCGAGATGCTGCCCGAATGGCCCAAGAGGTCTATAACGAGGCCATCTGCATTCCCTACATGGCCAAATTTGCTGTGTTCGCGAGGAGAACCTTCCCTGTCGAGGGTCAACTGAGGTACCGCTGCTTCTTTCAGAATTCAGAACCCCTCAGTTATGTTTGACATTGATTTACAGAGTGTTCTGCATGACCGACGACAAGGAAGACAAAACCTTGGAGAAACAAGAACATTTCAAATTGATAGCCAAGTCACGCGATGTTGAGGTTTGAAATCACTTATGGTGTAACTTCATGCGTAGTTCGGCTAAGGGGGGGGGGTAGGGGGAGAGGCACTTGGTAAACTCTGTCCTGGAAAAGCATATGAAATGGTTCAAATTGATCTCTTCGCGTTTTTGCGGGCAAATGGTTCCCCAATCTATGCTTCCCCGCCGTCCAACGCGAGTCCTCCTCCTTTCCTTCCCTTTCCCCAACCCTCAGCAAACGCTCTAGGGGCTCCACGGCCAGAATATAAGAAAATCTCACGGAAAATGGCATAGGGAGCCCCTACAACTTCATAGCTTGCAGGAGTTAAGAAACCTCTACTAAATGGGCTGCTTAGAGTTTATATGTCCCCGTATAAATTTTCTCGGCATTTCAACGGGATATTACCTAATGCGCCTTCCTCCGCCCCTTCCTTGGGTCGAACTGCGCCCATTTCTGGTCAATATTGCACACCTATTCTCATCAGCTGTATTTTGTCTGCAGGTACTGAAAGGCAAACATCAGTTCCTTGAATTTGCCGGAAATCTCGTACCAGTTACGAAGAGTGGTGATCAACTGAGTCTGTACTTCTTGCCATTCCAAGAGAATCGTCTTGCGTTCATGGTTAAGGTATTTACATTACAAGTTATTTACTTAAATTACGTGTACTTGTTGAAGAATTGTCTAATTATTCAAACTTTTCATTGTAGACTCGCAACAAGGATGATACCGAGGCATCTACTGAAGGAAGAATTTGCCTTATGACTGAACCAAGGTGATTTACCATCAATTATTCCTTAGAAGGTACCCTGGCAAAATCGATTTCATTTTTAGATCCGTTCCGAATCGCTACCTCCTCAACAGCCAATCTGTACTCTTGCCATTTCATTACCAGAATACACGGGTGAAGCCCCGAAAATTACTGTGAAGAGGGATACAACACCATTTGAAGTGAAATACCGTGGCGTACTGGATCAAGTGAGTTGTTCTTGATGTCGCCCCTCCACCTCGACTTTTAATTGAAGTTTTTTTCAGGCAATTGCCCGATTATTGTACACAAACAATGTCATATTAAAAATGCCCGTTGGCGCTGACTGGCAACGATTAGCACGCGCCCTCGAACTTCCACATAGAGATATACAGTATATTCGTCAGCATTATCCGGGCAAGGAAATTACGAACGTGCTTAAGATATGGATCTATTTGAAGAAAGAAGAAGCCAGCCGTGAGTTGTACCAGTAGAACTTGTGTTGAAGAAATTTCGGCCGAGTTCGGCTACGGGGAGGGTTGGGAGGGGACATTTTGCACTTTCGCTGCTTCACTAGATCCGGTACAACTTTGGTGAAACTGCCAACTCCTGTGAGGCTGGACCAAGCCCGTCGAGCCATCGTATACAACCTGTCAGCTCTTGTAAGTTCATGAAATAGTTCTCATGACTCGACATGTCGATGGAAGCCACCAATGCAAAATGCCCCCCCCCCCCCGTCGCCGAACTGCCCCAGTATTATTCCTACTACAAAAATATTTGCTTTCAGCTGAGCGCCTAGATAATGCGTTACGTCGTATTGGACGTGATGATATTGTCCGCAGTATCGCACACGGCGAACCAGACTCACTCAGCTATGGAAACGGAAGCGACTCACCGGCCAGCAAACGATTCGATCCACCAAAATATGTTGATTTGCCGCCTACTGTCATCCAAAGGTTGGAAAAGAGCAGCGTCGTCGTGAAACCTGCAACCAGTATTTCTTACATTTGGGTTCTTGCAGGACATTTGAAGCGCCAGCAGCTGTTAGCCGTCATGCAATTCAACACGAGGAAGCCATGATAGAGCATCCATCCAAAGAGGTCAGTATGTTGTTTCAGTGTCTAAGAAGATAAAGGTCGTGCTGTAAAGTGTATGGGTTCCTTTTTCTGTGTAATGTGGTAGTCGAAAGCTGCTCATTTATTAGTGGCGTTAGATAAGTACCCGAAAGGCAACCTCTTGATTTTGATGGATCGCTTTCTTGTCTGGGCACGTTTCACTCTTCCGC